TTGTGCAGTAATACTTTGAAGAGTTGTGGAACGTTCCAATCAACTGTCTGTGGATAGAAAAATAATTCCTCGAAATGAATTAATTGCCTCTCGCAAAGCAAGTGTTTGTAATCGCGATAGTGAGGAATGGATTAACTATTAGTACACGTAACACAGGTCGCAAATCCTCGATAACTCAGATGATATTAAAGTAGAACAATACAATCGAATGTTTTCCTGTTGCTTCTTCAATTCTCAGTTGCTTTGTGCTAATTCCAAACGTCTGTTTCCGTTCTTGCCCACTCATGTATGAATTTCACATATAAGTGGGGCCTGTGCTGCAGTCATTAATCGGTTTGACCACTGTCCGTTCTCATACCCCATATCATTAGCTGATTCCGTTACCCTCGTCAATGTCATGAGTGGCATGCTTTCTTTTTCTCTCTGATAAATTTGGCGCCATTTCTTTTTTATCAACTACCTAGTGCAATTCGGTTGACAATTCGAAATTCATCAGCCAACGATGGCGGCGTCAAGAAAGCAGATTGCGCTACACAGGGCAGGGTGTTCAGAGCAAATTCATCAACAGCGTGAACGACTTTGCGTAAGCAATGAGAATCGATTTCATTCTGGCGAGATGCACAGGCGTCAACATTAAAGCTGGCGTAGAACGATACTGCTCGTTTGTTGCAGTAATTACATTAGCCCATCTGCCGCATTTGAAGCTGAGATCAGCGTCACAGTCTCAGTAGGGGCTGTTTCAGCTGAAGAAAGCAAACATCGCCAGAAATTTACTTAACGCGGTAGTCGTCATGGCGTAGCTAAAGTAGTACATTAATAAGTAATTAGTTGACAAAAGGCGAGTTTCGCTAGCTCTTTAGCTATTGATGTGGAAGGGAAGGAAAACGTGGTAAACATCGTCAAGGAGGAGCAACAGTACAACATGAGGATGGGAGGGAGCAACATCAGGTCGATCTACCATATGCTCAGTTATGAGTGACAGATTTTCTTGAATGCTACGTAAATCGTTACCCTTTAATAACAGCAACTTGATCACAGCTGAAAGTATCGCCATATAGATCACGGTGACGATGACTAGACGTCTGTTACTGCATCCTCCAAAGTGAGATTTCACATCGTTCGTACATCTGTTTCACTCTGGCACTGCCATGTTGCATTCCGTCAATATGAATAAAGTCTGCCGATTTCTGTATCCCACGCGAGTAGCTAAAGGATGAGTTATTCCTGCGATTCTATGAACATTCATGGCTCATTCGTAATACTGTCCATTGCTCACTTTCTTCTTGTCCTTTGTTCTTCCAAACGGGTTTTCAGGAATCAGCAGTTGTATGCACAGAAAGCGTGACCGCTCCTAAACCGGATTTTAC